CAAATCAAGGTTCAGATGCTCCAATTCGCTCCGAAAATTCAAATATTGCAGACTCTACAGATTTAGAACCAGAAAATCAAAACCATCCTTCTACAAATCAAATGTCTAGTAATCTAGAACATAAGCTGGACCTTCTTGATCATATTGAAAAACAATTATCGAAAATGCGCTCGTTATTGGGAATTCTTCCTACTACAAATGCTATTGTTGGGCCGTCAAAACAAGTTTCAGTTAATAGCAAGCAAAATTCTGAAAAAAATAAGAAAAAATCTTCCATAACAACAAAATCAAACAATAAAAAACAAAATTCATCCGACAATCCTCCTAAACGTAAAGCTCCTATTTCGGAAAGGATTCTCAGCGATAATAACTTATATTTTCAAGTTCATCGAAAAAGATCGAAAAGCAAACGTTCCACATCTACAGAGAAAAAGAATTGATATATGAAGTCTAATTCCTTTTATAACTACTATATTTTTATTCTTATGACTAAAAAATAATATATTATTTAACAATTTTCATTTTTTTCTTTTAACAATTTCGTTTTATTTCCATTTATTGTTAAATGATTTTTAGCATACACCTTTCTTTGTTCATCTTCTAAATACAATTTATTTTTTCTTAGATATAGGGTGTCCAAAGGTGCGTTTAGCACAGCGCTCTATATGAGACTATTAAAGGAGATATATGCTGATTATAAATATATAATAAAAAATATGAATATATGTATATGATGAGTAAGTTGTATTTTGGCGCCATGCCGGGATATAAAATGAATTTTGAGACAAGAGGCGGTTTCGCGGGAAATTTTGGCGGGATTTTTTTCATTTTTTTAATGAATCATAAAGAAAACATCCTCGCTCTTGCAAAAAAATGCAAAGACTGTAAAAAATCTACGAGACATTGGTAAAATGCTTCGGTATGGATGCTCCTAGCTATTCCACTGTAACGTATCATGTTAGGATGTATCACTTCATGAACAAAAAGGCGCCCATCATAAAAATTGACAAAAAATCGCCGGATCAAAGAAAAATCAAAGCAATTCTTCAAGCGCTAGATGAAGACCCAAGAGCATCACTCAGAAGGATAGAGGAGATGACAAAGATACCACGTACAACAGTCAGTTATTATCTGCACAATTATTTGAACTACAAACTAGCGTATACACGTTGGGTTCCGCACAACCTTCATTCAGTTCAAAAAAAATCTAGAGTCCAATCTTCGAAAGAGCTCCTCTCTATATTGGCTGCGTATCAATCCAAGAAGTTTCGCTTTTTAGTAACAGGGGACGAGTCTTGGTTTCAATATGCAACAGAAGCCAAAATCATGTGGATCCCGAAGGATGAAAATCCGCAAACATTCCCGAAGAAAAAAATTGACACACCAATGATGATGTTGTCGGTTTTTTGGGGCGTGAATAGCATCATCGCAATTGATATTCTTCAAAAACCTAATACGATGAATGCTCAGTATCTAATTGACAATGTTCTTACTCAAATTATCAATTCTGATGAGTTTGAGAAATCCAAACAACAAAAACAAAAGTTTGCAATTCATTTTGATAATTCAAGAGTTCACAAAAGTCATAAGGTAATGAATTACTTGGTGGAAAACAATGTCAAAGTTGTTCCAAACCCAATTTATTCACCTGATATTGCACCCTCTGACTTTTATTTATTCGGCACGCTAAAAAAGAGAGCTGAAGGACGCGAATTCGCGAGTCCAGATGATCTTGAAAATTTTGTAAGAGAGCAATTTGAGCAATTTTCTCATGATGATTTAAAGCGTGTCTTTGAAGCCTGGATCGATCGCTGCGAACGCGTGATTGAATCCAATGGTGATTATATTTAAATAAACTTTATATATATGTAACTTGTTTATTTCTATTCGCAGTATTCAGGTTTGTGCTAAACACACCTTTGGACACCCTATATAATTATATTCATTCAATTCGATCGTCATTTTTCAGTACATGATCGTAATTTTCAATTATTGATCGCGATTTTACTTCAGAATTTGTTCGCCATATTGCTTATCAAAATTATATCTCTATTCCCTCATTTCTGTTTAGTCAATATCATTACACTCCTATTGTCTAATAACATGCTATTAATTTTCTTAAAATTAAAAAAAATATCAACTTTTAAAAACAGAAACTTAACATCCTTAGGTCAATGGATTTTGATGTGAGATACATTTAATCTGTTTTTCTTTTTTTATTTTAAATAATTGAATATTTATAGTTGTTATGGGTCTTACATCATGTAAAACGAATTTTCTTAAAGTAAATTTACTTTTTCTTCAATCATTCTTACATTTTTTTTAAAAATTTATCCAAAAAAAGATGTTTTAGAATGAAAAAAATAGAAAAATCTTCATTTATAGTCTTTCTTGAATGTATACGTTTTGATTTTTTTCTTTTTTAAAAAATTCAATTTCTAGAAAAATCGAGAAAAAATCATTTTCTTCTATTTTTTAGGACGCCATACCCATTGAAATCTCTTCTCAGGACGCCATAAACTATTCAATTATGGTGTAAACTTCTCAAAAATTGAATAGTTTACATCAGGACGCCTTAGGACGCCAACCCTTTACGCGCCCATTAAAAAGCATTACATTGGCTTTTTGTATGTGCTCTTCTGTAACTGGATTACCTAGTGCAGCAATTTGAGCTGCGTAGTTAAATATATTTACGGCTAAAATTTGATCTTGATCAAATTCTATTGTATGTGGTTCTATGATATTTTCGTTTAAAGGTTCTTCTCCATAATCTTTTTCTTCTTGATATGAATCTGATTCGCTGTCTGTTTTGTAAGATGAATACGTTTCTATTTCAAATTGCTCTATGGATAAAAATTCTGGGGTAAAATTATTACTTGCTGAATATATATCAGGACCGAGATTGCATACATATGTTATTGTACTCATTGATGATTTGATTTGCAAATAGAACTTTTTTTTTCAAATTTTTAATTTTTTTCTGAAAAAAAAAATTTTGCAAATTACCTCAGACTTTTCAGAGGATTGAGTTGCCACTCAATCCTCTGAAATAGTCTGTGGTAATTTTTAGTCTCTACACTATTTCAATATAAGCTCCATTTTTAAACAGTTTTTAAAAATCGAGCATTGAAAAGTGTGATGAGACTTCAGAATTTTTTTAGAATACTTGACGGATTTTCAATGAGCCGCCTCAAAAATTGAATTATATTCAATTTAAAAGAGGCTAAAAATTGAAAATTCTTCAAGTATTTCATCATATGTCGGAAATTGAATTTCATTCAATTTCCGACATATGATGGGAAAATATGTGGATAAAAAATGGAAAATCCGACACCAAAATTTTCGAAAATTAGGATTTTAATCAACTCTATTATGAGCCTATGTTTCTTTGTTATTTTGTAAACTTCAGAAAATTGAGTGTGCACCCAATTCAAAATTGTTGATTAAAATTTTTTTTAATCCCTTTTTTTTCGATTTTCTGCGATATCTGTTTGAAACAAATAGCTATTTATGCGGCACAATATGTGTAGAAATATGTGGATAATGTGAATGCATAGCAGAACATATGATTTATTAAGTTTTAATTAGAGATTTCGAAATCTTGATATATTAAAAAACACGTATTTCAGCCCTGCTTGGCATATGGATGAAATCTATACTGTTCATATACAAATATACTGCATCATTTTTGTCCTGAAATACATTTAAAGCTTGCCGATAAATCTATTTATATGTTAAATATGTTCCTGAGACCCAATATGACACGAGATAAAATTTGTTTTCATTACAAATTAGCGGATGCAATAATTAAGCGCAAAAATTCTGCCGGAATTAATATCAACAAATACGGATCTGCTGATATTTTTTTGGTACTCAATATATGATACTTGTTGATATATGTCTAGACCAGAAATTGAAATATGAACAGGAGAAAGACAAGTTCTGATCATAGGCAAACATTGGACATCAAATACTATGCTCTGTAAAAAAGTACGAAAACTGGAAAAAAAATTGAGAGAGGGTACGAAAAAAAAGTCTGCTTTTCGTATCGACTTCGGAAAATTTTTTTGAAAGCAACTTTCCAAATTTTCTTAACTTTACATAGATTCAAAATACTATAAAGCAATGGTTGTTTAAAATAAATTTTAAAATTTCAAATCATTTGAAATTCAAATGCTATCAAAAATTTTGTCGGAAATTCTGTCACAATAATCTTGACTAAATACCCATTACGTTCTATTAAATATATATCTGGCAACGATAAAAGAGTAGTGATTATAGATCCAAAAGAGAGAGGTAAAATTGCTGCACAATATAGATTCGAAAATGATTCTGAGGCTGAAATCATTTAGAAATATGTTCGTCAAAATCTCCCACAAATTATAGACGGAATAACAAAAAAATCCGTTGAAATTGAATCTTTGCTTGTAAATGAGCAAATAGTAAATAGCAATAGAATGGCAGATAACAAAGCAATGGAAGATGTAAACTCAACACAAAATAATTCAAATATGTTTGAAAAATTTGCCATAATTCCTCAAAATGATTCTATTAATTTGAGCCCATCACATAATGACCCAAGCGAGAACGTATTCTCAAATGAATTTTTCGAATTTTTTGATTGTTAAGTAAATATTGAATGTGATATACCATTCAAAATAAATGATTGTTTGTTTTCTCCTTTTTGCCAATTTGGGAACAATAACAGTTAAAGACTGTTTTGTTCATAGTAATCCATTATTTTAATCATAATTAATGCAAAGAGAATCAATAAATTTAACGTTACTATCAATCATCTGCCTGTACGGTCAAATTTTTAAATCTTAAATCTGAATAGTTTAAATAGAAATTTAAAAGTATCTTGACTGGAATTAAGGAAGGTATATATCTTAATTTCTTAATTCTATGTTGATATGCAAAGAAAATTTGTGTATTTGATCAAATTTCAAAAAATAATTATTTACAAAATAACAAAACTCTATAATATACAATACAATTAGTTAGAAATATTTAGACAAGTCAGCCAAATCGCTATATCTTTTCTCTAAATCATCCGCAGTATATCCTCTATATTCGATGAAAGGTCCCCATTTTTTCATGTCGATTTCTTTAATTATTTTGAAAGGAACTCCATGTTCATTGAAAATATAATCATCCAAACTGAAGAAGTCACTATCAGAGTGTATCAAATATATAAACATCAAAGCTTTGAGAGTAAATTCATCAGCTGTCATTGATTTAATTTTTTCAAAAGATTTCCAAGCAAGATCTCTATATTCTTGTGATGGTTCTAATCTATACAAAGCAAATAAAGAAATGAGAGCATTAAAATATGCTTCTGAATCACCATATCCTGGCTTATCCAGATTCTCAACAATTTGTTTCATAATATATCTACTCAAATTTCGATCTTCAATCATTTTTTCATTTATCTTAACTGTTCCCATTATTATAGTCCCGGCAACAAAATTATTTCGATACTGATCAACAAAAGAAGCAGGACTACGTGCTGGCCGCACATCATTCATGTATTTCAAATATAAATTCATGAAATGCTGGCCACTGTCTCCTATTAAATGATATCCTTTAACTAATTTATCCAAATAATCGTATTGTTGCTTCCATCCAAGTTCTTTTGAATATTCCCTCAATACTTTCTTGAATTTCCTCATTGTGTGCTGCATATACTTTGGATCATCTAATAAAATTGACAAATTAATGAATTCGCATGGGAAAACGGAATACTTTGGTTTAATCTTTGAATGATGGCATGGTTCTCCTTTAGGATTTCCATTATCATTATTAATTGTGAAAAAATGACATTCTGTAGTGAATGGCATGATGAAATCAGCATATTCTTTGGCTTTTAATAAGAATGACTTGTCGTCTGTTAATTGATATGCAGAAATCAAGTTACCTACAATGTCTGGAACGAAATCATCAACACTAACATGGCCGTCAGGAACAAAATTTTGTGAAAAGATGATGTTTTTGAATTGTTGAAGCTCTTCTTTGAGATCAAGAACGCAAAGTGATGATAATATATGTACAATTTTACGTCTCATTTTAGAATCATCTGTTTTATTGTATTCATTTAGAATATTATGGCTTGATTCCTTGTAAAAATCTTTAATTTGCTCTAATTTGGCTGGATAGCTTCTAATTTTCGTAAAATTTATAATAAATTTTGAAGGAAAGAACTGTTTTGCTGAGTTTTGACGTGGATCTGAATCTATAAGCTTGGTAGAGAAAAGATATCCTTGAAATTCTGAAACTTCGAAGTTTAATGAAGTCATTATTCTTTGTTTACATGGTAAAAGGGCAAAAAAGATAAATAAGTAGATATTATATGCCAATAAGAGGTCCTGAGTGATAGAATATCTGCATTTAAAACTCTGTAAAAACAGTCTGTAAAACTTGGAAAGCTTCAATTTCAAAAACATTTTAAAAATGATAAGAACACAGCTAATATTTAATATATACACTAACCAACAAAGTTGGACAAATGAAGAAAATGCTTTAAAAAGCACATTTCAACAAACAAAAATTAAATTTAGAATATATCGATCATTCTACAAATAATTTCAAGCTATCTAGTATAAAGAACCATAAATGGGACAAGCAAAATTGAAGTCCAAAAGATCATTGTCGAAGCAACACCTTCTCCAAGCTTATTACTGCATGTAATAGCATATGACGCAACAGCTGTTGGCTGAGCACATATAATTACGCATTGTCTTGATAGTCGATTTGATAATTTCAGAGCTTTGCACCAAAGTAATGCGAAAAATGGTCCAATCATGAATCTAGAAAACATACAGAATATAAACTGTAACCAATTGCAGGCGATTAATGAATGTTGTGCTAAAAAAATTCCAACACACAAAAGTGCATTTGCATAGACCATATCTCCTGCAATTTGCATTAATTTATCTAGAAAAGGAACATATGTTAGCCCTGTTGCTGAATAAGCAATACCACATAAAACACTAATAAGAATCGGACTTTTGAATATCGATATTACTAAATTAACAAGTATTTTGAATGAAAATTTTTCCGGAGGCATTCCTTCTTCTCTTAGTTTCTTATTATTTTCAATAATTTTGTAAATTCCGACTAATATGTAGAAAATTGGCGACGAAACAATATGGTTCGAAATTGTTGTCATTGACACCATCATATTTTCTTTGGCTGGCCATATGGAATTGAAAACTGGAATTCCAGATACGACATAATTGACATATGCGGCTGGAAATGATGTTGCTAAGTATGTGCCTATTCTACTCTTAAAAGGGTAAATCATAATTGGTGTTAATGCAATATAAATAGAAGCGGACATCAATCCTGCAATTAAACAAGGATAAAAATTCAATTCGCTAAACTTTTTTGAAGCAATTCTCTCAAACAATAAAGGGAAAAATCCAACCCAGAATACCATATCATTTAAAGCTAGAGAATCGCTGTTTTTTAGGATCTTTAATTTGGCAAGAGTGAATCCTGTGAATATGATTATCAACATTGCGACGCCTACTTGAATCACATTTCCATAATTTGTCATCTGAAATCTTCAATCAAAATTTTGTCAAATCAAACTTTTCAAAGTTTTCTCCAAAAAGGTTGCAATTTACAGCCACGTGAAATCATTGTTTGGAATAGAATACTGCAATGAAAAGAATACTATATGTAGATTTAACCCCCGTTTGAACAAGAGAATTTCAAAATTCATTAATATGATCAGACTAAGCTCTTTGCATAAATTGGATTGCAATTGACGAATGAAATGAAACAATAGATTCTTGAAGTCTATAAGCAAGATTTGATCAAAATCTAAAATAAAATTAGAATGAATATGGAATAAATCGTCAACATATAACAGAAAAGTGGATTTTGTATTAAATGTTAGAGAGTTAATTAAAATCGAAGATAATAATAATTGTGGAAATATGAAAAAAGCACTCAGATAGTATTATGATGCAATATTTAGATACCGATACAGTATCTAATGTATTGTTAAGGCGTGTCATATATCATTCATGTAGAATTAATGAAATGAAGTTATTCATCCATTTTTATGCTATAAACTTTTTCGCCTCCAAAAAATGTTATTACCATTGCAAAACTCGCTCATTCTCAGAAAATTGCGCAATGTTGCTGAATAGGTATTAGATTTTATTAACTACGTTCTCACATAACAATAAATATTAAAGAGTTATTCATGTGAAAAAAAGGTAGTGGGGCTTCCAGGCGCGTTGCGCCCTCTAGCCCCGAAGATGTTTAGTATAAATGAAGTTTTTATTCGGAAAAATGTTAGTTTTCTGGTGTGAATTCGGAGGACTCTTCTTGGATAGAGTCTTGTATTTCCTCCTCCTCTTCTTCCTCCTCCATTGCTTCTGGGAAGAAGCCTTCTTCTGGGTCGAAAACATTATATAATGTGTAATTGAATGACACATTATATCTTTCTTTGAGTTCGCTCCTGACAAAGAACTTAGTTCCAGGAATACAGAAGACTTCTGTGCGTTGGAAAAGCTGATGTCCTGGAACGAATTTGGCAATTAGAGACTTCTTTTTTCCGAATTGTTCAGGAGTTTTCATGACGACAGTAACAACATCTCCATCTGCGAGGTCTTGTTGTTGTTCGGAAAGGTAAAGAGCAATGATATGAATGGTTGCTGCGTTGAATTCGAGAAAGTCGAATTCAAATTGTGTTGTCGTATAACATTCAAACCATTTTGTACGGTTGTCTCCGAACTCGTTAACGTATTCATCTTCGTCATATCCGTAACTAAAGACTTGGAATTCGGCAATTCTCTTGTCGAATGACCGTTGGATGTAACGAGGAAGATTTTGACGAACTTGGTATAAAGTTCTCAACATTATAAGCTTAGTAAATGTTGGAAAATACTGAACTAAGACATCGCTAAGCTCAATTGGACTTGGAATTGTCTTAGTAAGTTCAATTGAACTAGTAATTGCTTTGTTCAGAACTTCACAGAACTGAGTATTGTATGTAGCGTCTGGTTGTGTGTTTTCTTCGGCGTCTTTGAGATATTTAGAGCAAATTTGTTGAAGAATTTCTCTTAATTCGCTGTTAGACTTTTTGGTGGTTATTCTAACCGCTGTGCCAGTTCTTGGATGTTGTGGGGCTTTGGCTTTGGTTAGCGGTTGAGAATTGTTAATGTTTGAATTGTGGTTAACAGCGTTGGCTTCCATTAGATAAAAATGAACTGACCAAAAAAGACAGATATTTAAATATTTGAGATAAACCGTTTTCGTCAACGGTAACCCCCTCTATTTTTTTATTTTATTTAATAGTTACCGTTGGAAAAACGGTTTATCTCAAATATTGAATGAACTATAAACATTTTTTGTTTTCTATATATACTTTTTTGTCCAACGGTAAAACTTTTTACACAACGGTTTTTGAGAGTCGTCGCCGTTGACTTTTTTGTAGAGCACTCAAAATAGTATAACTTTGTCCGGACAAGTAAGGGTCTATCGTCGCTACAGGAAAAGTTACAGGCGTTCCAAGGAAGTATACTTTGAGAAGCCTTTTTCCCCTTATAGAATGAGATAGGACGGTTATTTTACAAAACTGACAACACTTTGACCGAGTAGTTTTTTGTGCTGAACAAAAAGTGTCATATAAACATCTGTCAAAAACCGCTTTTTAACTTCACTTAAAATGCCACGTAAGCTATGTAAGAATATACGTAAGAGGAAGGGAGCATTGAAACATCCAATAGTAAAACTGACACCACAACAACAGTTGCAACAACAAATGATGAATGACCCCGCTATGTTGCAACAAATGTCAAGCAACCCTATGCTTTTAAACCGAGTTATTGGTGCACAGAGTGGAGGTTTAAGAGCGGCACTTTTAGCAAAAATGGCAGGCTATGGTGGAGCTGCAGACGGAACAGCTTATAACCCTCAAAGTCAAATGAATTTGAGTTCACTCAAAAATCAAATAACAGATGTCAAAAAGTCAAACATAGACATACAGAAACAAATAAGTGAAAACGAAAAGAAACTAGAATATGACAGACACACAAAGAAACTCAATAAGTTAAACGTAGAGAAAAAGAAGAAAGAAGAACAACTGAAAGAACTAAGTACAGAGGAATATGCGAAAAAAGTGTCAGAAAAAGCAGCAGAAGTAGCAAAAATGGAACAAGATGTTATAAATTTGAAAAACCATACTACTCAATATAAAGTACTGAAAGATGAAGAGATAAAACAAAAAGCCATGAAGACATATATGGATAGCGATGAGTATAAAAAAGAAGTTGAAGCAAATGTAAAGGCAGAAAAACTTTTACAGTTGCAAAACCAAACCGTACAGTATGAAAACTTAGCACAAGAAAGTAAAAATAACGACGCAGCCATGCAAAAGGCAATGAAAAGCGCAGAATATATAAAAGCTAATAATGACTGGTTAGATGCCCAAGCCAACGCTAAAGCAGCCCAACTTATAGGGTCAATAAGGACAAAAATACAAGCGGATGAAGACAGTTCAAATGAAGCTTTAATGAATGCTGACTTTAAGAATGCCTTCGAAGCTCTTCATAGTAAGGTGAAACTAGTGAACGACTTCTCATCTGGAAAGAAACTGAAGTCTGAAGGTTTCGACAAAGAGTTAAGAGAAGTAGCACAAAATATGACGAAAATAACAGATGCAGCAACGAGACAGGCAGTTCAAAGTGCCTATGACGCCGTTAGAGCAGCTGTTGTGGAAAGTCAAGAAAAAGAGTTACAACAGACCAAAACAGACCTAGTAAATGCTTTCTTAAGAACGAAAAGTCAGGTAGGACATTATGCTGCAGATGGAACATATGTGCCAGCTGGTGGAACTTACATACCACCAAACCCTCCAAGAGAAGCACCTGCACCAGGACTACCTAAAACATTTACATCGTCACATGGACACAGACACAGGCATGCACCAAAACCAACACAACAACCAACAGTTCAAAATCCAGCACAACAACAACAACAACCAACACAACAACCAACAGTTCAAAATCCAGCACAACAACAACAAACAGAGCAAAGACATAAAAGAAGTAGAGAAAAAGGAAACCAAGAATTCTTAAAAATGCTTAAGGAAGATTATGGTTACCCAGATACTCTTGACTTTAGTGACAGATATAAAGAAGCTATTAGAAAGTTCAAGGAAGGAAATACTGACCCGAACATATTTAGCTTTATGGTTCAGCATAAAATCGGATATAATCTCAAACCTGGAAAATACAAGCTCGCTAAGGGATATGATTTAATAGCATATCATCCAAATGACATGGATGAATTTACTCCGAGATATTTGATGTCAGAGCTAAATGATAATTCAACTCTCTTCATGAAACGCGTAAAAAATAGAGACGGAACGAAAGAAGAAAGGTTTATGAGTCCGGATGACTTAGATAGGGAACTTGTTAAAAACGGTCTCGGAATATATGAAATGCCACCAGATGAGGTACAAGAAACTCAACAGGAAGAAGTTCAGATACAACCAGACATGGAAGAAATAGTTCAGCAACAACAGCTAGAAGAGCCTGAAGGAAACGAACAAGTCCATCCTTTGGAAACTAACTTCACAGAACTAGATGAAGATTTGGAACAGCCGAAAAATCTTGACCCTCAACAAGAGTATGAGGAGAATATGGAATCTTCCAAGAGTCTAAGAAAAATTCGGCTGACATAGTAGAAGGATATCGAAAAATGTTCACCGACATACAAAAGACTCCAACATCAGATGAAAATATTCAGCATAGAATGGAAGTACTGAAAGAAAATGTACGCAAATACAATAATCCTTTTTACTTACGACCATATAACGTTCAATCTTTGGCTGAACTCGGTGAAAATAAAAGGTTAAATTTCAACAAAACATATAGAAATGAAACATTGTTTAAAGTTCATTCAGAACCTAACCAATATGGAAACAAACCTACTTTTGTTTCTGCAGACTATGGAACTACAATGAGATGGGGTCATAAAGCTAATCCGGATAGGTGGTTCATAAACTTACAACCTCAATTCCAAGAAGTTGTAGACGCAATGGAAGTGAATGGTGAACCAGATATAACGGGTATTTTCAGCGCGGCTTTAATGCCATTGAAAGATATGAAAGATGCAGATATTTTGGACCAGTATGAAATGAACATGGCTGAGGGAAATATAACACCTGACGTTCTAGAACATTTATCTCAAAGAACTACACAGAACCATAGAGATGGTATATTTGGTGAAGAGTTTAGAAAGAGAGTTAGGGAGAGAGAAGGAAGAGAACCTATTGTACATGACCTTGCAAACGAAAGTTTGCAAAATGTCATAAAAACTTACTTTGCAGACAATGAAATGAGAAGGGATGAATATTTAAGAAAACTCAAATGGACAGTACCAAATGAAATGTTAGTATTGAAAAACATGTTCCATGACAAAATAAAACCAACTACAGAAATATATGACGCAAGACTGAAACGTTGGGTAAAAGCTTTCCCATTCACAAAAGATATTATTGGTTACATGGAAAGAAAACCAGAATGGCTACAAAAACATATATTTGGAAACGAGCTTATTCCATATGGACAAGCTCTGTTTGAAGAGCTTGAACCGGAAACTCAGGAAAGAGTCATGCAAACAATAAGCGAAGACTCAAATACAAACTATAACAAAATCTTTCTAGGATATAGGTTACCTGAGATGGGCGACCAGAGCCCAAAGGCAAAAAGGACATGGGAAATTTACAACATACTAGGTGAACATGAGGCAAAGATGCAACAACTTGAAGCAGAGGGCAAGTTACCAAAAGCGACACCAAAGAAGAAGAGAAGAGTAGAACAAAGTGAAAGTAGTGAAGAAGTAACTTCATCTAGTGAAAGTAGTGGCAATGAAGGAAAAAGAAGAGTTAAAGATTCAGTTAAAAACTCAGTCAGGAAGAAAGTAAAGCTTGGTCCGAGTGGGTTCTATTATGACATATAAATCCAACTATTCTATATTTTTACCCATATGAAATGTACGCCGCTCAGAATATAACGCCAACAGTTTTGGATGCCATGAACGGAAATGTTTCCGAATGGTATAACAAATGCGACAATGCCATTAGAAGGTCAGAAATAGTTCCTGGAACTTACGAATATACAACTGCTGTTTCTTATGGAAACGTAGGTGAGTTTGGAGAAGGTTCTTCAACAACAGTAGATATTGCTTGCGACAGGTTTCATATTATTTCTATTGACAACTCATTCTTATACGTGGAACAAGACATTGAAATAAAACCTTCTGCCAAGTTGTCTGACAAGAAAGGTTGCAATGGAATTTTCTATGTCGGATACCAATATGCTCCAGAAGTTTTCATGGGATATAAGATATATTCTAACTCTGACTTAGTTCAAACAGTAACATGGGCAAACTATGAATGGTTCGCTTTGAGAAACTCAGTACAACCACAAGCTAGAGAACAAACAGACCAGTATGCAACTATTGAGAAAATAAGAAGACTTGACCCTAACGTTCCAGGAGTTTATGTTAACCTTTCTGGACAAACTGCAGCAGCAGTAACCAAAGTAAAATTGAAACTTAGAGTTCCTTTGTCATCTTTCCTCATCTTCAGGTTTTTAAGATACTTGCCAAACTGGGCAGGAAAAATTTCTATCGAACTTACTCCAAGCAAAAATAACTTAGTCATTGCACCAGCACAAGACCCATTCACTATTACAGACGTAAAGGGAACAAATCAAACGTCATTCGCCGAATTTTGCAAAGACAAAGTTGACTTAGACTTTGGTTTCTCAAACTTCAACAATGAAGTAAACTATTATTTCAATGCTGCTGGAACTGCTTGGGACCCAGTTAAGTTCACATGCGAACAGTTTGAATGCAAGAGAATAGAAAGCAGACTTGCCGTTTATATGTTGGACCCAGATATTTCAAATGCTTTAGCTGCCAAATATATTGCAGTTCCACTTATGTTCCCTATACACCAAATATCTGTCAAAGACTTTGCAGGTGAAGTTGGAAACCAAAATCCAGGAGCCGCAGGTGCAAGAACAGATATTGCTTTAACAACTGCAATGAAACATGCAGATACTATGTTTGTACTGTTCAGACGAACTATAAATGACTATTCTTGTTTCTACAACCCTGGTATTAAATATCATATAAACATAGATGGCAAATATAGGGTGTCCAAAGGTGCGTTTAGCACAGCGCTCTATATGAGACTATTAAAGGAGATATATGCTGATTATAAATATATAATAAAAAATATGAATATATGTATATGATGAGTAAGTTGTATTTTGGCGCCATGCCGGGATATAAAATGAATTTTGAGACAAGAGGCGGTTTCGCGGGAAATTTTGGCGGTTTTTTTTCATTTTTTTAATGAATCATAAAGAAAACATCCTCGCTCTTGCAAAAAAATGCAAAGACTGTAAAAAATCTACGAGACATTGGTAAAATGCTTCGGTATGGATGCTCCTAGCTATTCCACTGTAACGTATCATGTTAGGATGTATCACTTCATGAACAAAAAGGCGCCATCATAAAAATTGACAAAAAATCGCCGGATCAAAGAAAAATCAAAGCAATTCTTCAAGCGCTAGATGAAGACCCAAGAGCATCACTCAGAAGGATAGAAGAGATGACAAAGATACACGTACAACAGTCAGTTATTATCTGCACAATTATTTGAACTACAAACTAGCGTATACACGTTGGGTTCCGCACAACCTTCATTCAGTTCAAAAAAAAATCTAGAGTCCAATCTTCGAAAGAGCTCCTCTCTATATTGGCTGCGTATCAATCCAAGAAGTTTCGCTTTTTAGTAACAGGGGACGAGTCTTGGTTTCAATATGCAACAGAAGCCAAAATCATGTGGATCCCGAAGGATGAAAATCCGCAAACATTCCCGAAGAAAAAAATTGACACACCAATGATGATGTTGTCGGTTTTTTGGGGCGTGAATAGCATCATCGCAATTGATATTCTTCAAAAACCTAATACGATGAATGCTCAGTATCTAATTGACAATGTTCTTACTCAAATTATCAATTCTGATGAGTTTGAGAAATCCAAACAACAAAAACAAAAGTTTGCAATTCATTTTGATAATTCAAGAGTTCACAAAAGTCATAAGGTAATGAATTACTTGGTGGAAAACAATGTCAAAGTTGTTCCAAACCCAATTTATTCACCTGATATTGCACCCTCTGACTTTTATTTATTCGGCACGCTAAAAAAGAGAGCTGAAGGACGCGAATTCGCGAGTCCAGATGATCTTGAAAATTTTGTAAGAGAGCAATTTGAGCAATTTTCTCATGATGATTTAAAGCGTGTCTTTGAAGCCTGGATCGATCGCTGCGAACGCGTGATTGAATCCAATGGTGATTATATTTAAATAAACTTTATATATATGTAACTTGTTTATTTCTATTCGCAGTATTCAGGTTTGTGCTAAACACACCTTTGGACACCCTATATTATCCAAGAGAAGAATATTCTACAGTTGAGGATATGAGGTCATACAACTTGACATTAGATGCTATGAACTTTAACAACAACTTCACAACAACCATTAACCCTGAAATGCAAAGTTCTATTATGCCATATGTGAAAGTATGGACTCATACAGGAGGTCAAAAAACTCAATATACAAATGGAGACCGTTCAAACTTTTGGCTTGGCATTCCATTTGCTGACTCAGAAGACTTTATGGGTGGTATTTCAACTGTTGGTACAGTTCAAATACAATATACTGGTGACAGAGACGGTCCAGATGAATTGAGAGCAAAGAAGTTTACAAAACCAATAGCACTTTTCACGGAAGATGCTCTTTTGAAGATTCGTTCGATGAAACCTGCTGGGGCTCCTCAGATTGGCATAACGACAGCTTCCATCGAGCAGATTTTGGCAGCAGGTCAGTAAGTTGTTCTTGAACTGACTTCTCTCCGTCAAATATTGACAGTACGCCAGTTTTGACATAATATTGTATTATAACTTTCCTTTAGTAATATCTGTAAGTTTTGAAGTTATATTTTTGTCTGCTTCAAGAACTTTCACCATTTCAGTTATACCAACTTTCTTTGCTTTATGAAAATATTTAGGTTCAGCAAAGACTGCTATTCTATAACATTTTCCATTGTTTGTGTAAAGAACTATTCTGTCAATGTATTTGTATTGTTTGTGAGTATAAACTTTGTTCTGCTTCAATTCAATAAGATATCCGAATACGTCCATCTTTTTATTCTAAGTAAAATGTCATTTCCGAAAAATAGAAGCGTAAGTGTTTCAAAAGGTTTAATGGCGGTGGCAGATGTGAAGTTAAATTCACCAACTCAAACAAACAGTCAAAGTGTTGTTGTCAATGTCAAAGACAGAGATGTTGAAGTGGGGAAACCATACGAAGACGAAGATGGTATAAACAATTGTTCCTGTAAAAGAACCAACATATCCTGAAGTTAACAGAGACTTAAGTTCTGTTGCAGATATTCGAAACGACTACCAACAACTGAAAGACAAACTTCAAACTCAGGAGAAGATTTGTCAAGCTTTAAGTATAATGTTAAACTTGGTCGAACACAACCCTGTAAAAGTGAACTCATATGTCATTGCACCTCATGAAGTTTTGAAAGAACTATTGAAACTTTTGACAGAGGCAGACGATATAAACATCAAAAAATAGAATCCGACATTGGTTGCTGTGGTGTTTCATATAATGTCATTGACAAGATATACGTTATGAAAGGAGGTGAAACGTTAACTTAAATATAGTTTCCAGACGTTATAAAATATTTGACGACCACAACATTTCATTAAAATTTATTTGCTAAGTAAATGGCAGAAGACATAATGGTTTATACTATTACGACTAAAACCCCGAGTCATATAATTCTATAACAACAAACTTACAAAGTCCTCAAGGACGATATTGTAAACTAACCTTAAACACAATGACGACTAAAGCCTGTTTTTGCTCTTTTGACACCAGAAGACTTTATTGTTGTGAATGGTAAAAAATACTCCTTTGAAGATACTTACTCAGATATACCACCAACAGGTTTTTGTTGACTTATTTAATACTTTAAGTACGGTGTAACATGTGCTGCAACTAAAGCAGGTTTCATTATGTTTGGATGTCCGACTGAGTTTACTATTAATGATATGAGCTATAATACAAAACTTATATCTGGTTTTTACTACCAACAGTTTCCTATAACAGGAAAAAGGTGTCATACAAGGAATGTCTATTCCATTGACATTAAGCACACCAATCTTATATATTGTTTCAAACTTAGGTTCAAAGTGTTATTCGAATGTCGACAGAAACTATTATGACCAAAAGATACTTATGCGTATAAACAATACTTTTCTCTGCTGGTTTGCTATTGTTCATTCGAATGCAGAATTTTCAACCTTAGTGAACTCAAACACTTTGGCAAGTATAACGTTGACATTAGTTGACGCAAACTTTGTTCCTGTAAAACTTTTATGTCCTATGTATTTGTCAATGACGGCAGAAAGTTTCGAATTGGAAGATGCAACTGGTGAAAGTATTGTATTACAAGAACAACTTCAACAACAAATAGCTCAAGAACAACAAATGCAACAAATGGAACAACAAAGTCAAGAATAAAAAAATAATATTTTTTTTATTTTTATAAAAATGTACAGAATAGATGTTTCAGATTTTTATGACTTCCAAGCATTCAGAAAATATGTGTCCATTTAGAGACTATAACAAAGCAGTCGAGAATTTGAAACGTTTAGTCATTTATGTTGACTCTGCCCCAGAATGTTATGTCATGAAAGAATGGGATGTTGTCTTTAACAAACCAAGAGCAACAATAGTGTCTGAACAAGAATGTAGACAGAAACTTAAGAAAATAAAAGTTGTACAAGTTGGAATGAAGATGTTAGATGCTTGGGATATCTTATTGTCAAAGTTAGAAGATTTTTCAGTTCGAGGTATAAAGTTCTATACACCTTCTCCAAACTTCTATTCTATCTTCACTGGATATAAATACGAACAAGTAGAATGGAAACACAGTATTAAAGAAGCTTAGTTAGACCATGTCAAAGAAATTATATGCAATGGAAACGAAAGAGTCTATGAGTATATCTTATGTTGGTTTGCAAACATCTTACAACATCCAAGTGCTAAAAATGAAACTGCTCTCATTATAATTGGAAAACAAGGAACAGGTAAGAACACATTCTTTACAGATATCTTATGCAAACTGTTAGAAGGTTATTCGAACCCTAATATGACAAACTTAGAAAACATCTGCGGTAAATTTAACTCTTCAATAGAGAATATGAAACTTATAGTTTGCAATGAATTTCAAAGTATAGATACAACAAAAGTTTTGAACTCAGATGCTTTGAAGAGTCTTATAACAGATAAAGTTGGAGTTGTTGAAAGAAAGTATAAAGACTCAAGAGTTTGTGAGAATGTTGCAAACTTCATTATGGTTTCAAACAATGCTGTTCCGATGAAGTTAGAAAGTTCTGACAGAAGATATGTAGTTGTCAGAAAGTCAGATTCTCATATGCAAGATACAGAATATTTTGACGCTTTGTCAGAATATTTGACACCTGAGTTTTACAACCATTTGTTTTCATACTTTATGACATTAGATATTTCAAAGTTCAATCCAAGACAAATTCCACATACCGAAGAGAGACAAACATTGTTAGAAGCAAACAAGAGTGTATATGAACTGTTCGTAGATGAAACTGACTTTGTGTCATTAGATGAAAGGTCTTTATATGATGAATATAAACAATATTGTCAAGAATATGGTTATATGGCAGCTTCTAAACGTACATTCTTGGCAAATGTCAAAAGTCTTTTAGATGTTCAGAATGGTGTATATACAAAGAAAATTTTTTCTGAGTAAATTTTAAAAAAAATATTTTTTTATCCGATAGAAAAGATGACGAAATATATTTCAGTAAACAAGTACATGTCAGGACTTAAAGAAGAACTAGACCCATTCACATATTTGAATGTTTACTTCTACCATTTTGAAAAGTCTTCATTCAGCAAAGTTTGGAACATCGAACCAGTTAAGTTTGCTATTGTGACTAAAATGGTGCGAAATTTGAAGACTTAGACATAGAAGGTTTGTTAACAGTCAAAGAAAGTTTTGACAGAAGGTTCTCAAACCTTAAAGAAGGCAAAGCATACAAACTTGTTATACCTTATGAACCAAAGAAGACAGACGACTATGAATATTATGAGTCTAAAGTTGTAGAAGTTCAAGGTAAATTGGGTAAAAAGCTATTAGAGTCTAAGCCAGTGTTTACTCCTAAAGAGGAAGAGAACATTGACATCGACCCAGAAATGTTCTAAAAATAAAATTTTATTTTTACATGTCAAATTTCTTTTTCTCTGGAACTGGTTCAGGTTCTTTCTTCTCTTCTACTTTTTTCTCTTTCTTTTCTTTCTTCTTCTTCTCTGGTGGAGATATGTCAAATTTCTCAGAACCATATCTATGTAAAAGTTCTTTGTCCTTTAATAGCTCATCTATTCTGTTTTCTATTTCATCTTCAAGAACACCGCATGTGTCTTCTTTGCATTCTAAGAACTTTTGTTGGACTTCATCTTTCCAATCGGCGTCATCTCTGTCAACAAGTCTGTCATTGACAAATTTTAAGACTGCTCTTTGTAATGTTTTATGGTTCTTGTCATATTCCCAGAAACAGAACTTTAGAACAAATTCACCTTTCTTGTTTACACTATGTAAGATTTTATGGTCGACAGATGTTTTGCTGTCAAAAAGCTTGTCTCGAATATAGATAGCGAAATCGCTAGACATTTTCTAAAAGATAAAAATTTTAATTTTTCTAAAAATATGTTAGAAAAAAAGTTTGCTGACATTGACAAGAAATTTGAGAATGTTTTAAACAAGAACAAGAGGAAGTTAGAAAATGCTCAGATAAAGCCTATACATGACAAGTTCTTATTTGCTCAGAATGGTATAACAGGTCTAATTGCACCACCTGGGTCTGGTAAGACTTTCACTTATCTTAAAATGGCTGCACAACAACAAGAACTAGATGAGAAGAACCCATTCTATGAGTTAGTAGTCATTTGTAGTACTTCTGGTCAATTTGACCAAACCGTCAATTTGTTCAAAGATATTATAAAGAAGTCTAAGTTAGTATGTATAAAGGATACTGAGTTGTTAGATTGGATAAAGAAGTACCAAAGAAGAGTTTTGAAGTATAATGCTATAAATGAGTATATAAATTCTAAGTTTAAAGAACCTAATGAGGAAATGCAGAGAATATTAGACAAACACCACTTCAGAAACAAACAGAAAGAGATAGAATACATTTCGAAGAAATTGCAATCTTACGATTGGAAGACTTACCCTCATAGATGTCTTCTTATCTTAGATGATTTCGCCTCTCATCCTTTGCTTAAGAATAGAGAACAAGATATGTGTCGAATTCTTAAGAAGCTCAGACACTTTAACATCTCAGTTGTCATTTGTGTACAGACAGCAAAGAGTTTAAGTAAGGATGTTAAAAGAATACTTACTGACATAATACTTTTCCCCGGATTGTCCGAAGACGATTTCATGGAACTTATGAAAGAGTCCATGGCAGGTAAGTTTGACAGACATGAACTATGGGAGAAGTACAAAGTCATACAAGACCCTCATACTTCTTTCAGAATTCATATCTACGCAAACAAAGTTCAAATTGTAAAAAGTCAATCTTGAAAAATCTAAGTGTTTAGTCTTAGTAAGATGGTAGCTTCTTAAAGCAAATACCATTGCTGAGTTTTATATACGTGATGAGAAGTACAATGAATTCAATTACGAGTACAATTGCAATGACAACTAAGGCAACTATTTTTGTCTTTTGCCAGCAAGAGTACTTCTTCTCTTCCAATGGTTCGGCAGAACTATACTCACTCATGAGAAATGCCAAAACGGTTTAATAGAAAAAGTGTCATTTTTTCATGTCCGAAGACTCGAAGGTGCAACACTTCCAAAATACCGACGAACTCAGAAGAGCAGCATGGCAGTATGTTCTTGACAACTTCTTTGAGTTCTCCAGGTACACCTTGGAAAATGCTGAAGAACTCCGACACAGAGAATTTGGAGAAATTGCGCTCCAATACTACCTTGACAAACAAAGGGTAAATTAAGACTAAAAACTTAATGTTTAAAAAGTGACATTTTTATGAGCTCCGAGTCACCGAGAAAACTTGGTCAGATGTTAGCAGTTTACTTCCCTGAGGAGGATGGAAGCGTTACATACATCAGGTTCAAAAACAACGAACCTGGAATTGCGTACCAAATTCGCAATTACATGACCATGGAAGAGTACGAAAGGTTTCTACAAGAGAAACCAGCTCTAAACAACTCAGAAAAGAAAGAGTAAAAAGTTTAATTCGTAATTGTTTATTTTTTTACTTGTAAGGGCAAGCTGCAAGTATGAAGTCGACCATCTCCGTCTTTGTTTTGACGAGCTGGACGGCTCTTGCGAGTACGTCTGTTTTGCGGTCTCCAGCTGGTGTCTGCCCTTCGTAATTGCGCATGTTCTTGAAAGCTCCAACTGTAAATGGTTGTAGGATGAAGAGTCTCTCAGACTGCTTGAGGTAGTCTTCACGGTCACGAACCGAATCTGTGGTACGAGTCGAATCGGTCGATTTGAGGGAAGAGACTGAAAGCCTGTCGTCTTCCATTGGAGCTGTAGCATACTCTTTGCGTAAGCGGTTCAGACCTTCTTCGAAGTCTTGGTCTCTCTTGGATTGAGATTGGAATTGGAATTGCTGGGGTGGAGCTTGCTGGAACAACCAAGGGTTGGGGAAGTAAGGCATAGGCTGAGGAGGGTAGTTCGGGAAGCCTTGTGGTGGGTAGTAACCTTGAGGTGGAAATTGGTAGTAATTCGGAGGTACTTGCTGGAACTGAGGTTGCTGAGGAGACTGTTGTGGTTCTTTAGGTTCCTCTGGTTTGGGAATGGACTCGGTTGGTGGGACGTCGGACATTCGTTTGTGTCCTGTCGGACCACAACGATAAAAATCTCTGCTACTAGCAGTACTTTTACTGACAGTAGCAGTACTTTTACTGACAGTAGCAGTACTTTTACTGACAGTAGCAGTACTTTTACTGACAGTAGCAGTACTTTTTCTGACAGTAGCAGTACTTTTACTGACAGTAGCAGTACTTTTACTGACAGTAGCAATGGTCGAGGTCGAACCTACCGACGAGGCAATTTACCTAATTGAAATTAACGAGCTTGTTAAAGACTTCCTCAGGCAGAATGTAAAAGGCAAGCTTGTTAACGGTTGGATAACGGGAAGGGCTGCCTTGAATCTCGAGATTTCGACTGGAATTCCAATTGAGGTACCAGAAGGCACTCCTTTCGACGACATAAAGCAAGCAAAGAAGGAAGCCATTATAAAGTTCTTTGCCAAGCGTCCTTGGATACTACTTCCAAACAGAGAGAACCCTTTCCCAAGAATGAACCAAATTCTCAAGGGTCTCCTTCACTTCTCTGGTCAGCCGTTCTACATAACCTGTGAAGGCGACATTCAGCCAGTTCAGTAAACATCTCATTTTAACTCACTTTTTTTATGTTTTTACTCACACTCGTACTCACCAGGTATGAGTACAACTATTTCAACTGTGAACCTTGTATTGACCGGTCTTCCTGTAAATGCAAGTTCGGTCAATACACAGTTTATGGTGGCAAGAAAGACAGTGGGGAATGCGCGCTCGAGAGAGAATTGAAATTCCAGACCCAACTCCAACAAGAACTCTCAAGTTACCAGAGACTCGTGTGAAGAAGAAGTCATATAACAAAGCACTTATAGCCATCTATATGGCACGTTTAGAGTAAAAACATTTTTTTTCATTTTTTGAATGAAGCAAGTTAAATTCGTCCCACACCAATCTCAATGGACCGATGAAGAGTTTCAAGCTATGGTTGAAGGTGTTGAGAACGACATAGACGGCGAACTTGAAGGAGCTCAGACAACAATTGCAACCAAAATTGCACAAGTCAAAGAAGAGATAGCTCCTCTTAAGGCAACCAAAGCTACTCTTGACCTCATGGATACTTACCGTTTAGAAGTAAAGAGTGGAATAAGACAATTAAAATTGAAACTTCTAAACTACGAAGCTATACTCCAAAAGTTAGCAGAAATGAGAAGACTTTACCAGAGCTACTTACATGTAAGGGACTTACCTCCAAGCAGTCCGACCAAAGATGAATTTTCTGACATTGTCCCAATTTTGTCCGAAAGTCAGCTCAGATGTTTTGAACTGCTCCCAACATATCCAGAATATGAAAATTTGCCTGAACTCTTTCGGTTCCTCAAAAAACGTTTTTTGGTTCTCATGTTCGAAACTTTTATCGGAAGAGACAACAAACGTTCAGAAGAAGAACAAGATATTATTTTAAACTTGTTGTATGACTTAACTGTCATAACCAGCTTTTTGAAGTAAAACCGTCATTCTCAAACCACTTCATTTTTTCGATGTCCGAACAAGCACCGAAGCCGAGCACAATGGCAGGTGTCCTTTCAAGGTTGCCAGACAAGCGCCCAATTCAAATTCAAATTGCCCAATTGAAAGCTCATCTGACAAACACCATTAAGACTCTCCAAAGTAGTCTTATGACAGAGATGACCAATCTCAAAGCCGATGTCCTCATGAACCAAGCTTCCAATGAGAAATGCCTGAACGATTTCGCGGAAACCTTGCGCAATTACGAGAGAGAGAACCGAGACCTTGCCAGACTCATCTACCGTTTCTTCGAAGAGATAGACGCCATCTGGAAGGTACTCGGAAAGGACAGAACATGCAACACCGTACTTCGTGAGTACCAAATTGAAGAAGGAATTGTCGAGGAAGAAGAGGAAGAAGAGAAACACGAAGAAGAGGAAGTTTGGGCAACCCTTGTTGCCGATGACGCTTACGAAATTTCCCAACCCTACCCATACCAAATCCGCAACAAGGAGACAGGCAAGGTTCTTACCCCAGTCCTCAACAACTTGGGACACTTGAACCTTAACCTTCGGAATCGCGGTTCAATCTCCATGGGCAAGCTTGTCGCAATTCAATGGGTTCCAAATCCAGACAAGAAGACGAAGGTCAGACACATTGACGGTGACAAGCTCAACAACCGTAAGGAGAACCTCGAGTGGTTCTAAGAGTAAAAAATTATTTTAGGGGAAAACCCCAAGTAAATTTAAGTTTTTATTTTTGGTATTCGTACCAATTTTGGAATGTGAAGACCACATCCCAACCTCTGTACGTGAGTCTTGGGTCCACGTCTAAGACCCTTCTGTAGCAATTCCAAGCCCGAGCAAATTCAATTGTCAACCACTCGTCTCCTCTGTAGTCTTCAATCCATTCTTTGAAGAGACGGTTGAGTTCGAGCCTGGAATATCTCTTGCCTGGGTCCGAGACCAACATTTGGTTGAACTGGACGAAGCGCTCAGGGATGTACGCCATTAAAAAAATGTCACTTTTTTTTGAAAAACGTTTTTACTTCATGCAATGTTTAACTATTTCACCATCTTCTTTAACACCCCAGTACTTACGCTTGGAGATGACATGAACTTCGGTGAAAATTTTGTCCAATTTGAATTGACCCATCTTTTCACTGACCATTCCCATTTCAATGAGTTTGTTGTATCCTTCTTCGTTCGTCATGAGTGCGTCAATGTTCTCATAGTAAACCTTGACTTTGGATTTGACTTCGGAGAAGAATTTGTTGTAGTTGTCAAGGACTGCCTTTGCGAACTGAGGGTAAGACCAATGTTCGACAATAGGTTTTAATGTGGTTACTAAGCCACTTTGACCTTGAGTGAATTCGTACTTCAAAACAAAAGGAGAAAACCTTTCAACAAAGTTGTCGACCTTCTCATAATGTTTACTCTTCATCTCTTGAGGTTTCTTAATGGAATATCCCCATGTCGAATTCATAAGCAATTTGAGTGTCATTGCAAGTTTGGGGTTTGAAGCTTTCCTAATATCATACAGTTGTTGTATGACTTTTCCAACTGTATAGTTCCTTCCCGGGAACTCACCATCTTCGTTTGGAATTCCAGTCGGAATATATTGGACAAACCTCATGTATGCAGCGTTAAGGTCGACATAGTATATCTTTTCATCTGAGTCGAACTTGTCGCAACCAATTGGTCCAGTTTGTGGAAATTCAAGTGAGTCTCTTATCTTCTGAGAAACTTCTCCTGTTATCTCATAAACATCGTCGAAGCAACCTGTTTCATATAAAACCTTCTGACCTAACTCAGATGCTCTCCAATACAATTTGACGTCAATTGGATGTCTCAATGGAAGTTTGTTTATAGCATCTTGAAGTTCTTGCAACCTCATTGGAAGTTCTTCTGGTTCAGGTTGGTATCCGAACAAACCAACTCCTTGTGGAACTGTGTACTTCTTTTGTACTAGAACTTTGTCTGGAACAACTTTTGGTCTTGCTAACAATGAAAAGTTTGTTTCGTCTTTTGGTACAAAAGTTTCTGTCAGCTTGTCATCTGGAATTGGTTCCAACAAACCTTTCTCGAAAAGAATGTTTACAGCTCTGACAATGTTGCACTTACTTTTACCAAAGAATGGGTTTGTAAGACTTTCGTTCAACATGAAGTGGTTGTGGACAATTACAATCTTCAACCATGGTAAGTCTTTGTCAACAACATAGTCGTCATGTGAAGAACCTTTAGCTGTAGGTATGTTGACTCGGATATTGACATTTGCCAACGGTGCAATTTTTGCCAATTGACCTCTGAGAATGTACCTTGTCTTCACACATGACTCAAGATACTTCATCTTCTCATCTGTAACAAGACCAGAGTTCCTGAGACATGTAAGAATGCAAGGTTCGTTGACAATTGTTTCAATTGAATTGTAAATTCCATACCTTGTCAAGTCAATGTCAGACTTATTTATGAACGGGAAGTATCCAGCATGTTGTCTGACTGCTTGAGGGTTAGGTTGGTACCATTCGAACTTGACACTTGCAATTCCTTCAATTGCATTCAAAATGTCTGAGTCGGAGTCAACCATTTGTTCTCTCTTTGTAGTCTTGAAAGCGTCAAGAAGTTTTGCGGCTGTTTGTTCATTGCCATGTGCATAGTAAATGTGACCATCCAAATCTGTTATGGTCAATCTGAGATTGTGTCCTTTCTTATTTCCGTCTTGTATGGCAGCAAGTACTCCCATGAAGCCTTCTTTGTTCTTTCCTTCGTCAAAGTTTACTGTAAAGGTTCGACCAGATGTAATTTGACTTCTAACTTCACGATACTTTTCATATGCATATCTTGTTCTTTCCATGGGAGCATGTGCGTCTTCACCTTTTCCTTTTTTCCTTCTCAAAGGATGCAATTGTTCGTCATGTTTCCAGTAGAATCTGGCAAAGCCGTCGTGTCCTTCAACTTGAGGTTCACTAACATCGAAAGGCATGTCCATAAGACGTTCTTCTTCTAACCTCTCTAGTCTGTTTGGATAATTGGCACGTGCTGTTTCCAAATCTAATTCGTAGGTAAGACCTGCCAATTTGTCATAGACTTTTATTGGCTTTCCCTTCCTATATTTAAACTTCTTCGAAACTCTCCAACCATATCTTTGTAACTCTGCTTTTATTCTAGCAGACTTTCTGTCCATTCTATATGGGGGCATTTTTATAAAAATAAAAAAATATTTTTTTTCTTTACTTTACATAACCGCCTGCTGCCATAAGTCTTTGACGCCAACCCATACCAGCTAATGAAAGTTGACTTGGTTTAGTTTGGAAACTAAACTTTGGTTTTGGTTTATCTTCAGTTTTTGGTTTCTCTTCTTCTATCGGTTTTTCGTCACTTTTCGGTTCCTCTGACTTTACTTCACTTGCAGGAACAGTTGTGTCGTCAACATCTTCATAAATATCATATGCCATTTGTTTTTGTTTTCCTTTCAACTTTTTGTGTTTGTTGTAAAGTTTAGAATATTTCGACTCTAAGTCAATGAGATGTTCTATAAT